ACCTAAAAAGGTTAGAACTATTAACAAATCATTTAACTTCAGTGGATTCTCATCAGACATTAGTATTTTTACGTAAAATATTACATAACGTCACGGTAGGAAAACCCGGTGTGTGTAGCTGATAAATAATGAAGGACAAAGCTAGCTAGCTTCCCGTTAAGCGAATTATACCTACGCCAACTCGTAATTAACTCGCTCATTGTGAACCTTCAATAAGATATCAAGGAAGTTCCAGACTAGAAAGAAGACTCTATATTGCTTGTAAAATTTTTGTATATAAATCATTGTGTGTAATAACTATTTGCAATAACTATTATTGTAAATTATATTGTTGTCTGTATATTAAAACATATTTGTGTTAAGAAAGAAAACTATGCGTATCAATCTTGTTGGCAAAAATCATAAACTGACTATATATCGAATTTTTCTTAACTACTCAATCCAAAGTATAATTTGACTACTGAATTTAAATTTATCAGTTAACTCAATTTCAGACTATTTGAAATTCTAATACGTAACAATAAATTGGGGTGCTCAAGCTCGAGTTGTTTGAGTTTACTCTGCCAAATAAGGGTGTATCATTGTTGTTGGGAAACGGTTTGGATGGGGGAAATTTGTTGCCAAACCTTAAATGGTTAACGAGCCAATCACTGTTTCATCTAAGGATGATGATGTTGTTGAGGATAATCCCGATGTGTTTCCCTCGTGTGCTGTGACTCGACCTCAGGCTAAGAAATTAAGCCAAAAACAAAAGACAGACGTGGATTCAGATTCAGATTTACTCCAATGTTATAGATTTCTCTTAGACATTCTTTAGATCCGACGAGTATCTTGTAGTTAATTGTCCTACTGATGATTACTCGGTGAGGGACAACAATGGACATGAGGGATCTGATTAGCCTAGTGAGGGTCCATTTACTAAAAGAAAACTGATCACTGAACAAGAAAAAGATCTGCAGATCTCTTCATTATTTAAATATGCACTTTCAAAAGATGAACTGGAGAAAGTTCCAAATGGTTATTTTTTCAAAAATGGCGTGCTTATGAGGAATTGGAGACCACCAGATCTGCCAGCTTCAGAGGACTAGGCTACTGTTTATCAAATCGTTGTTCCCAAAGCATATCGTTCTGAAATATTGAAAATTGCCCATGAACTCCCCATGGGAGGACATTTAGGTGTCAACAAGACATGTGACAAAATTATGAGACATTTCTTTTGGCCAAAAATTAGGCAAGACGTTTCTCAGTTTTGTAAAACTTGTCATACCTATAATAAAATTTGTAATAAGTCCTATCTCAGCTTTCCACGTACATACGCATACTACTCTCCTCACTTATAGATTCACCCTCAACTTGCAAACACTCGCCAGTATTTTCTTCCCTTAAAATTGATAAAAATGGTACCACTTATTCTTCAGTCGTGCCAGAAAAAAACAATCGCATCCTTCGCCTTAATGGGTAAGTGTTAGAAATATGAATTTTTGTTACTAGCTTTTTTAATTAAAAAAATAAATTAGGCCTGGATTGTAATTTTAAAAAATAAAATAAAGAGTGGTACGTGAGCCTGAAACATTTGAGAACCACTAATCTATGCCATTGATGTAAATCAAAAAGCTCAAAGGTCCTAAGACTGATTAATCTCGGTTTACTGGACTCCATTTAAAACAAACCCTTTACTTTCTTCCATCCAGCCACTGTTCTATCCAATTAGCTGAATTTGAAAATCCAGATACACCAAATCTACACCCTTACCCTCACCTACATAAACAATAATCTTTTCAAATAATGTCAAAAGATTTGTAAGATAAGATTTCCCCTAAATTAAACCATGTTAACTATCCAATAAAATTCTAAACTTTGTTAAATGACTTCACAGAGCATATTTTATCAGACTTTCCAAAACTTTTTCCACAACTGATGTAAGGCTAATAGGCTTATAATTACTGGGACACATTTTATCACCTCCCTTGAAAAGAGGAGTAATATTAGCCACTTTCCAATCATCTGGCACCTAAATACTATTCAAGGACTTACAAAAATAGTAGCAATTGGCTAAAAATTCCAATCCTTAACCTCCTTCAAAACCTTTGGGAAAATATTATCTGACCCGAGAGCTATATTATCCTATAAAGTTCCCAATTTGTTCTTAACCAGCTCACAATTAGTGTGATCATCTTGTTCGATCTTGTTTCCACCTAATAACTGTTCAAGATGACAGATATTGCTTAAAATCTTCCTCAGTAAAAACTGACGAAAAAGCATAATTCAATGACCCAGCCAATTCATAATCATCAGATACGAGCTTTCCTTTATCATCCATCAAAGGGCATACTCCAATCCTAGCATTTTGCTTACTCGAAATGTATTTTCAAAAATTTTTACTGTTAAATTTTACATTTTCAACCAACCTTTTTTCATACATCCTTTTTGATGTCCTAATTTCCTGTTTGACCAACTCTCTTGATCTTTTATAATCGTCTAAATCTTCCGCCATACCAGCCAATTTAAATTTCTTAAAGTTGTGATGTTTTTCCTTAATTTTATTCCTTATACCCTTCGTGAGCCAAACTGGATTTTTCTTACAGCCATCTTTTTCGTTCTATAAGGAACACGTTTATCTTGAATATTTAAAAAGAAATTCCACATTTGATCAATGTTTCCAAGTAACTTAGCTGCCCAGTTCACAAGAGATGATTCTTGTCGCATCCCTCCAAAATTTGTTTTTTGAAATGTGTAACTAAAATATCATTATTCCCGATCTCCTTATGCAGCAAAACATCGAACCTAATAGAACAATGATCACTGACACCCAGATGTTTCCCAGTTTCCACCCTCTTAACCATTTCTATATTAGAAGGTAACAATAAATCTAAAATAGCATTATTTCTAGTATGTTCTTTGACAAATTGGTGAAGAAAACCACCTTGAACAGTTTCCAGAAACCTTTCTCCCTCATGGTTTGACTTTAACGTTTCTCAGTCTATATGGCTGAAATTAAATTCACCCATAATTATGGCCTCATTAGCAGCTGAAATCTTTATCTCACTGTAACGTTTCTCATTAATTTCATCAGTCCAATCTGGTGGTCTGTAACAAATTCCCACAACAAGCCTTTTCCTTTATATCTACTAATAGAAACTCAAATAGATTCAATCTCCTTGCTCTTATCTTTGATATCCTCAACTTGAACAAGATGTAACTCAAATCTTTCATATATAGCAATTACTTCCCTTCTCTTTAGTACTCTATCCCTATCAAATAACCTATAACCTTGTATTTCAAAGAAATTCTTTTCATCAAAATTGTCTACGTCTAACCATGTTTCTGTTATTCCCATTATAACAAAAACCTCCATTCCTATCAGCACCCTAAAGTCATCTATTTAATTTTTTATATATACATCTAAGTTCTAGCATTATAATAGCAACAATTAACCCTACCATTAGAACTGCTTTTATATTTAGTTCCTATGCTAAACTTTTCTCTACATCTTATTTTTTTCTGCATTTAGTCTATCCTGGCGCTCACCATTGTCTAGTACTAGTTACAGATTTACCTATGATATAGTGAACAACTCATCCACTCTAAACCTAGCATCTAATTTTAATAATCTTCACAAGATGTTTTGGTGACATTCATTTAATTCTTTAAGTTTAAGAACACGGAGCTTTAAAACTTTTTAGTAGTTGAAGAATCACTAACCATGATATTAAATACTTTCAAAAGCGATGGCTGTAAGATGAACGTAGTGTTTTCTTCTTACTAATTTCTTTACACATCTTAATGAAGTTTGTCTTGTTTTTGTTGTACTTTTAGAACAAAGCTACACAATAGGCCATCTGCGCTCTTTTTACCACGGGGATTCCGAAGAAAATCAGTATGTTCTTCTCTGTTTTTGAACCTGACAAAAAATCAACAAAAAACGTTCTCACATATATTAGTGAATAAAAAAAAGTTTAATAAATAAACATTATAAATAAATATATATATCCAACGATGTTTTCGTTAAAAAATGATCCCCTTAATTGTAAGCAGTATTTGAGAAATTAAAGCATGATAAAAATTAGGTTTTGAGGCACAGTTATTAAAATATCGTTATCAAATAACACTAACTATGAGATTTACAATTTTATGTTTTATTTGCAAATCATAATATTTTTAAAGAAATTATTTCGATAAGAAATTTGTAGGTGGCATTGTACTGTAGTTATTTTTATTTTATTTTTATGTGTGTGCGTGTGTACTGAAGGGACACGTAGGAAGACGAACAAAATTTAAAATAGTTTAAAAAACAGTCTAAGTCGATTCTTTGGTTTATAGGAAAATAATTGTTGCAAGACTATTTAAAATTTTAATGCTTAAAGATGAGCCGTGTAATTAATTTGAATCACAATATGTATTTAGTTTATTTGTTATGGTATTTTAATCTTATGTTGTCAGTAAGCGCTGTTGAATTGACTTTTGAATTGCCCGATAATGCCAAGCAATGCTTTTACGAGGAAGTAACAGAAGGGACTTTGTCCACGGTAGAGTTTCAAGTACGTACTTTTGTTTGAAGTTTTTCATTGGGCCTTTAAGTATATATATATATTTAAAATATCAACGAAAATTGTTTTTATTTAAGGATTGCGTTTTGAAAGTCACCCCAACTGGCATAAGTCTAGCCTAGCCATACTGATATTAATAATATTACTGATAGTAATGGTAAGACTATAGCCTATAGTAATTTACTATAGTATATAGGTTAGCTGAGTCTTAGATTGGCATTTATAATGTTTTTTTATTTATATGATCAGGTAAGCAAAAACTGAAAAAGTTAGTTTACTTTTCATAAGTTATAAGCATGTTTGACACATGAATTAAGCTTTGGCTTAAGGTACGCTCACATACAATGTAAGCTACGCTTAGTGTAATACTAAGAGAAAGTCGGTGTAAAATTTTAATAACGTTAAAGATTGTGAACTTCTTACTCTTAGTCTTCCCCTTAGGCAAATTAGCAAGAAGTTAAAATACTGAAAAATAATATTTTTTTAATAATTTCATGTACTAAAACTATCATATTTATGAGCTGTGTGCTTTAAGTGGATTGGACAGGATAGATGATAAATGCTTTTTGAAGTTCTTGAGTAATAATATTATTTTAAGTTATGAATTATGGAAATAGAAAGATATCAGGATACCACTGAAACAACAAAGAAGAATGGAAATAAGTACATAAACCAGAAATCAATATTAAATATGGGACTAATTGAGACATTTGAAAAAAAAAAGGGAATGAATTGTGTATTTTTTTAGGGGCACAAAAAGTTACAAAAATTAATGAAAAATGTCAAAAAAGAAATAATTTTATGGTATAACAAATAGTGCTAAAATGAAAAAAAAAATGAGTAGAGAATAAAAAGCAACATGAAGAAACATTGAAAAAAAAGCTACAATGAAATAAAAAACAAAAGGGTAAGCCTAAAAAACAATTGAAACTAGATAAACTTACAAAATATGAAAACAAAAAGACAAAGAATACTACCAAAAATCCATAACAGAAAAAAATTTAAAGGAAACCTAGTAAGTGTCATTAACAAATTCAGATAACTTAGTTACACAATCCAAAAACAGAACAAATATATTGTAACTTACTGATAAGGGAAAGAATACATGAATACCACCATAAAAAATAAAACCTTACATTAACTACAGAGATTATAGAAAATAAACACAAAAACTACAAATTATATACAAACATGCCAAATAATAAACACCAAGTTATCAGAAAATCTAAACATTAAAACTATCTCATTTGATTCTTAAATAATTAAAAGATGAAAATACAGAAAAATATTTTGTCAAGAAGTTCACCATAAAACACAGAAATACTCAGCATGTAAAGTTTCACATACAAAACTAGAAAAATCAGATAAAAACAAACTACAGGTTAAGATAAACAAATGATCTTGTAGAGTAAACTAAATAAAATAGCCCTTAGTGAAATTGCTTGATTTGATAATATAAATAACAAAAAAACATGTTACAAATACACACAGTTGCTAAGAAGTACACTTACAAGGAAACACGATTGGAGATAGAAACAATAATAGACTATTACAATTACATGAGAGAAGTAATTAGTGAAACTGCTAAACAAACAAAAAGAAGGGGATCTACACAGTTGATATTAATAAAAAAAATTTAGAAAATGAAGAATGTGTAGAGAAGTGAGAAATTTTACTAAAACATGTAAAAGAGCTTCAGGAACATTAATAAAAATGCCAATAACACATTAAAATCAGGTAGCAATATAATAACATTGTTGGAAAGCATACACAATATTACAGGACAGTTGCATACACTACATAGTAATAACTTGATAAATGAAGAAACAAAAATGTGAAGGCAAATAAAAAACACCAACTAGAAACAAAAAGATCACTTTTCATCTCGTATATTAAAATATTTAGAGAAAAACATTAACATTGTTAAAACAAATTAAAATGCTTAATGAGCAGTATAATAATTGCATACACAAAACCACGAATACAATAAAAATAACCATAAAATATTACAAAAATGTATTATTTATAACATTTAAACTATTTTCTGTGTAAACAATGAGTTAAGAAAAAAGATAAATCATATATTCAAATTGTTATTAATCTGAAAATGGAAATAAAAGCTAACAAGACAACATGTACCAAAGTATACAGGAAAACTATCATACAGGGAAAGGCCATAAAAAGACAAAAAAAAACACAAGTAAGAAACAACAGAAAAAGAGAAAATAAATAGTTGAGAAACATCTTAAGAAAAACTAAAGATAAATATGACAGAATAACCTATTAATAAATAAAGTATCTAAAGGAAAAAGTGGTGTCCGAATATGGAACTTAGCTTATTTTATTTACGATACATATAACTTACTTTAAGAATGTTAGTACTTAATAGTAGGGACCGACAAGGATTCCAAATAATTCACATGCTGATAAACCACCCTATCATATTCCTAAGCAATAAACCGACCATTCAAAGTATTGATTATGATATATTAGTAGAACCACATAATCCATTGCCATTAATATAACCATAGTGTTCAGATAGTTTCTTGATACTGCTTTGTTTACATAGTAACATTTTGTTGCAGTTTGGTATTAATGAAGAATTTGAAAGTCTGCATATGTTTAAGATCAGTTTAGAAATTTCAGATATTCATATTAGATATGTATTACAAACTAATGTCTTTCTTTTAACAAGTTTTCAAATACATTATCTATCTGTATGCATTATAAAATTGCATGAATTTAAAGAGAGTGTTGAAAAATGATCTGTAGTCTAATAATAGTAATATAGGTACTGTATTTGTCTTAGTTTAGTAATAATAAAATTAATAATGTAGATACTACGTTGGTTTGTATTTTTTTTACAGGTTGTGACAGGTGGTCAATATGATGTAGATATGAGTCTAGAATCACCAAAGAAAGAGATTTTATATAAAGGAATTAAGAAGCAGTTTGACAGTTTTACCTGGACAGCTGCCCAGACAGGTGTTTACACTGTGTGCTTCAGTAATGAATTTTCAACTTTCAGTCATAAGCTGGTATACATGGACTTTCAAGTGGGGGATGAAAAACCCCTTCCAGGGATAGAGGAGCATTTGTCTGCCATGACAAAGGTTAGTATAGACAATTCAAATTAATTTGTTTAGATCATCACATTTCTATTAAATTGAGGACTGAGGTTAAATAGAAGTAAAATGCCTACTTTATTTTCATGCCATTTTTCAAGTTTTTAATGCTCAGTAAGTCAGATCAAGGGTTACAAGTATGCATGTTCCACAAACAGTGGTGGTGATAACTTCTGGTAAGTCCCACTAGGATAAACTCTTTCCTATCAAACTTATGCTGAAGTGTGAGTCTTGTTACTTGTTTATCCCAAAATAATCCCCAAACTTGTTGTGTATCCATCATACTAATCAGATTTTGAAGTGGTTTATTATCATGGAAGTTATCATTCAGTAGTAATAATAAGTTGCACATAAACTATTCTAATAATGTAATTTCTGATATGGTACTCTCTCACATAAATAGCTATTCTTGTTCAGTGCTGCCCTCTATATGCAAAAATGTGTTTTTTTTTGCATGTCACAAGCCATGAAGCTTTCACCTAACTTTGAATTGACTGTTTCAAATGTGTGTCACATGCAAATCATTATGTGACAACCCTCCTCTAATAAGAGTGTGACACACACTCTTGACATGTGACTCAGGCCTATCTCAGTTTTATTTTAGAAATGTTTCACAGTATATTCCCCTTCTCATGACATTGTTTCATGATGATCTTTTTGTCTCTCTTTTGAAAGTGGTTGCTTGCAAGCTTCTACCTATAGAGGCTTTAATTCTTTTTGCCTTAGCTTACTATCAAGCAGATTTTCTTCCTGATTTTATGTCATTCACATCTCTGTTAATCCTATCCATTTTATCCCTACCTAGTTTTTTATCTTTGTTTTACCTTATCTACTCTCCTAAAGGTAATGTTTACCTTCCACCTCACTTCTTCGGTATTCCACTTATATTTAGGAATTTTTGTAGGATACCTCCTCCACCTTCCTTCCATATTGGGTGGGGGGGGGTGCCTTCTTTAGTTCCTTCCTTCCACACGTGGCTTCTTTGCTTTGGGGATCTTCTAGGGTGGGACACTACTGTTTGTTAACCATCCACTGCTAATAGGGACTTACAATCAGTTCTTTTTCTCGGTCCATTTTTTTGGGGTACTCCTGTACATTAAATATCACATGGGGTATATTCAATTTTGTTTGGTTACTCTTTTCTTTCATTGTGAGATATTATTAGCTTTATTCATATTACATGTTCAGCACCTTCCCATCCTTTACCTTTATCTACAGGTTTTTTTCATTCATTTTGTATGCTTGATGCTGATTGGGGTTATGGATCAATTGGTCTCACCTCAATCACTTCTTGATCAAATCTGGAAATTTTTTAAATATTCAAGATAAACGTATTCCTTATAGAAAGAAAAGGATGGCTGTAAGTAAAAATCCAGTTTGGCTCACAAAGGGTATAAGGAATAAAATTAAGGAAAAGCATCACAAACTTTAATAAATTTAAATTAGCTGGTACGTCAGAATATTTAGACAATTATAGAAGATAAAGAGAGTTGGTCAAACAGGAAATTAGGACATCAAAAAGGATGTATGAAAAAGAGGTTGTGTAGTCTTTGATTACATTTGGGTTGGCTGTTTCTGACTGAGAATGGCCACAGCGCACATTCTAACCTTTAGTTTTTTCACCACATGATTCAGTACCAGTTTTGTCCATTGACCTTTGGACTTGTTTTGGTTCCATATGTCTTTTGTAGGGCAGTCTGTGTTTTATGCAACTTCCACATTTTGGGGGATTTTACCTACACCATTCATTGGATGTCTAGCTTCAGTTAGCTCCTTCCAAATGGGGTAATCTTAACATACTCCTCTACTCCTTACACAGTCAGCTTGAGCAGTTGAATTTTCCAGTTGGATCAGTTTTTTCCTGTTACATACCTCACATTCTAGTCTCTTTGGGGTGTGTATTTTTAAACACCCCATCCATCCTCCTCCTCAAATACATTCAAAGGAGTTTTCTGTTATCCAAGCCTTTATTTTGGGTTTTCTCTTAAATTTCATTCTTCCCTCTTTGTCTGTAACTGTTAATAGTTGAACATAACCCCCATAATGTCTGATTTAACGCTTCCTCCCCTTCTCTTGGAATGTTTCTTTTCCCTGATTCTCATCTCCAAATGTGGGGTGTGGGGTTCGATCAGTAGGAAGCTTCTGGACAATGGTCTACAGATGAAAGGTCTTATCACCTTCACACCCTAGCACTTCCACCAGTCCAAGATACTTTAGTTCACTATCTTCCTCTTGTCTGGATTTGACTAATCATGTTTCATTTTGACTTTTTGAAGGTCATGGCTTATATCACTCACCAGGAGGACACTCATTCTTGTTCCCTTTGTGGTAAACAGCGGATTTCCTTTTTTGAACCCATACACTTGACATGTGGCTCCTGGAGGTTTGTGTTACAGGTGCTCCTCAGTCCTCGTTGCTAATCGACTTTCCAGTCCTGTCACACTTCCTCCTAAGGAGTGACCTCTCAATCTTCCTAATTTTTTATGGCTCTGCCTCCTGTGGGATACTCCTCCACTTGAAGTTTTTGAATATTTTATCACTTCCCAGTTAGTTACCTTTTTTGGTCTTTGGTTCATCATCCTCTTACCCTGGATGTTGTTAAGTTCAAACAGGTTTACATCCAGTTTATAACATTAGTTTTTCTCATTACATCAGTCTTGTTCCCCAAGTTTTTGTTCATCCATATCACTCTGGTTCAGGTCTTTCTGATTGATCTTTCCTGGCTAGCACTGCTGTGGTTTTCTCAGATGTTTTGGCTTGATTTGTTTATTTTCTTCTGGATCAATTTTATTAACCTACATTTTAGTGGCTCATGTAGTATATTTCTTTTGACTTTTTCGTTTCTTACCATCTTCCACATTTTTTCTCAGTGGGATCCAGATGAACTTCTCTGTCCTGTACATGCTGTGGGTTGCTTCATTATTTTCAATGCTTCTTTCCATTGCATCCATTTCCTGTGGTTTCCATCCCTTACTCCACTTCTTTGTCTGTGATTTATTTTCCCTTCCTCACTTACCTATTGGGTTTGGATGGTCATTCGGTTGACTTTTTATTCCTTGTCTCCTTCTTCCCGTCATCACTTTCTGGTGTCTTCACTCCAATTATGCACCTTCCCTTTTCCTTGCATGTCTACCCTGTCATCCGTTGGAGGTACTTTGTCTTTTTGAGCACTGGGACTACACCTCATATGTTCATCTCCCATTCTCCACTTTGGGTAGCTGTTTCTTCCATGTCAGTGTACTGTCATCCATCCTTCACTCTTTAGTGAGACTCTGACTGGGTAAGTTACCTTTTAGTATATATATATATATACCTTTTATTTATCAGGAGCATGTTCCTCTTTTTCTTTCTGGTTCCTGTTCTGTGGCGAGTGTTGCCTGTCTAGATATACTTAAACTAGTCAAATCCACTCTCTAAAACCATGTCAACTTACATATTATGATTTCCATGGCCAAAAAATGCACACTGCTGAGATGGGGTGTTCAACAAGATCGCTTGTAGGTTTATCCTCGCGATATGTTTGCTTCATTAGTTTGCCTATCCCGGACCATACTCACCCATGGACTACATGGGAAAAGCAGAAGGGGATAGCTGTTAAATAAATCGGTATGGTCTGCTTTTCAAAATAAGGTTTCGTGGTCACCCATTGCAATGTCTCATGTGTTGTCATTCCTCCGGACTCTCCACTGTGCTTTCTCCCCCCTTTTCTTCTAGTGGAGTTTGAGAGTCCTTACCACTTTCCAGTTCTGATGATACGATCCTCATCATACCCCCTTGTGGATGTTGGTTCCAAGCGGTATGAGTTTTGGATGTAGTTGACTTGCTGTGTAAGGTCCGTCTTGCCCTAACCACTCTGCACCTGGGGGCATATCCATTTAAACTTACCCACTTTTATGTTTTCCTGATTTGAGTTTAATGAATATCGTATGGTTAGGATGCCTATCTTGCCATAGTTTTCTCCCACTTGGATGTGCTCCTCCATCTTTCTGCCCGAATACGCGACATATTTCCACAATGGGAGAAGAGTATACCTAGTACAGAAGTGGTGCAATCTCCCACATATGATCTTCTACCACGAGGATCTACTCTTTGAGAGTGTTGTATAGGATATTTTCAAAGGATGCTTCTTTTTTTCTTTCCCTTGAACAGATCCCTCCACCTTTTCAATGTGGGATTCTAGCTATTTATCTGAGAAAAGGTAATTTATTGTATCGGAAGTTGTAATTTTCCTATACTGAAAATGTATTTCCGATAGGTATTTACCTCCCCCTCACTCTTCCTCCCCACTGAAAATCGGTGCTTCCATTTTCACCCAATCTTCAAAGTGATAGTTCGGTAGAATTGAATAGAGGGAGTCACATGCGTCAAGAAAGTGTGTCGCACTCTTATTGGTGGAAGATTGTCACATGATTATTTGCATGGGTGGGAGCTTCAAGGCTTGTGGCATGGGAAAAAATGTTTTTGCATATATAAGGCAGTACTGAACAAATATAGCTATTTATGTGAAAGAAGATAAGTACCTATCGGAAATACATTTTCAGTACAGCAAAATTATAACATTTGTGTATATATAATGTACTTTAAAGCACTTGTCTGCAATGTAAATTTAAAATTCATATAGTTTGAACTTTTAGAGTAGTTGTAGCTTTAATATACGGTTTATCTTCCAACTTTAATCTTACAAACCATAGTACACAAGGTTACAGAACATAAACTAACTGGAAATGAATCTCTTATTCATCTCTAAAGCAAAAATTAAAAAATGTTTAATTTTATTATTATTCATATTTTTCAAAGCATAAGTTTTAAGTGCCTGATAATTTTCTGTTGCAGATTTATTTCCTTTTGCTCTTTAAAATTAATTTTGGTTAACAAGTGAATAATATGAATGGGATTATTTAAACAAAATATTATGAATAGGAAAGGAAAATGTAGACCAGATATGTAAATGCTAATCACTAATATTTTTATAAATGGTACAATGTTTTTTGCTACAACAAAATACATTTTATATGAAATATTTAACACCATTTCCAAAAACTAGAGGCCAGTGCAAGAAATTATTACATATAAAGAGAGTTGATGTTTAGTAGCAAACATTACTTTATCCACCATAATACAGTAATTTCATAAGATTTTTCTTAATATATCATAAAATGAGATAGTAAATAGCTGTAACAGGACCAAAATACAGTAATTGTAACAATTTGGTGAAACTTTTGTTTCATTTTGGTTCTCATTTAATATTATAACTACTTTTTTGTCTATTATTAAATATAATAATGCATTAACCACAAATATTTTGATGTTTTGTATCATTAATGAACTTATTTCAACTTCAGGAATTTCCTGTGGGTTTTATTTTGTTTATTGAAATGCCCCCAGAAACTCTTGTTTACTTTAAAATCAATTGGTGCTAGGTATAATAAGAATAATGCACTAGCCATTGAAAGAGATGAAATTTTATTTTGAAAACTATGTATATCATAATTTTCAAGATTATGGTACACATCAGCATTTACAATGTAGTAACAAACAATACAGTATATTGCACAAAAATATCAGTATAGTAACTCAAAAAGTTAGTGTGGCCATAGATTCTCCAAAAGTAAAGCTGTATTTGTAGTTAAGGAATAATATGGTCAACATTGACTTGCAACATTTTGACTGGAATGTTAACAAATTTTCATCCCTCTATTTTTTTTAACTCTTAGAAGTGTGTATGGCAACTGAAGGAATCAATATGAGTAGACTCTCTAAATATTCATTGGATATGGGGTGTTTTCTAAAACAATAACCACATTTTTACAGATTTTATAAGTTTTAATTAGTTTTTTCCTCTAAAGACTTTGCTGCAACCCAAACTTTTTCTTTAATTATTATATGTTTACTTTATAGTTGTCATTAATTTTTTCAGATGGAATCTTCATGCTCCCATGTTCATGAGAATTTAAACACAGTTATTGATTACCAAACACATCATAGATTACGGGAAGCTCAAGGTAGAAAGTTTGCAGAGGATTTGAATACCAGAGTAATGTTCTGGTCCATTGGTGAAACCTTGGCCATTCTCTGTATTGCCGTTGGTCAAATCATCATTTTAAAGAATTTCTTCACTGAAAAAAAGACTTAGTTTTACAGGAAATTTTAAGTTCATTTTTATATTAAAATGTGACATACTGCCACAGTATTTATTGCTGGAATGAGAGTTAGTCTGTGAAGAAGATTATGGTACATCTATCTGTATAAGAATTATAGTATGGTCTTGTGTGATAGTGAATTTTATGAATTGGAGGTTGTAGACTTACTTACATTTAAGATTGATAAATGTATGTAAGGTAGTATATTTTTTGTTTTTCTCCACTTGCTTTAGAACTCGTTCTTCTAACTGACATGAAATTTCTTTTTAAATATATGGCACCCAGAGAGGTGCATCCCTCCCTTGATGCCAATATTGCACAATTGGATTAAAAAATTATAAAAAATAAACTTTTAGTCATTTTTCCACACATTTTGCAAAAACAAACACTGCAGTGTTGAAATTTATTCAATAAAAGTTATTTATTTAATTTTATAATCAGAAATTTTTAAAAAATTACATATTTTGATCTTAAGTTGATTTCATTGAGCTTAGAATGAAAACATTAGGGTTTGTAATTTCTTGAATTTTTTTTAGTGTAATACAGCACTCATAGGAAGAAAGTCAAAATAGTTTTGAACAAAACAGCAGTGATTTTAACCTTAATTTCAGTATGAATGTAGTTTTATCCAATCACTGTTTCTCAATCTTATTATCATGGTGTGATGTAATTGCCTACATCTCACCTTTGAGAAATCATAGGCTAGAGATCTCAACACATAGTTAAAGCTCTTTTTTTCTATTACTTTCAATCGTATAAGCTGATACAGCTTGTAGTGATGAAAATGTAGCTTAGTGATATGTTGCTAGAAGAAATGATGTTTGTGAACAACTTCCAACTCAGTTGCAATCCTGATTTTTTTAAAGCTTGTGAAAATCTTGCTTTATCATTTCATACTTCAGTTGAATTATGATGTTGCATTATGACAGGAAAAGAAGTGTTCTTTAAGGAACAAGGTGAGGTAGGCTTAGTTGGCTTATTTTGCATTCAACCATATCAAATTTTGTTTGGCCAAAAAGATTAATGTTTGTTAGTCTGTGCTTACATTGGGCCTTATTGGCTTAGCATTTGCTTGAATGAACAAAGAAAATAAAAATAAATGTATAAAATGTATATAAACAAATATAAAATGGATTTAAATTCAATGACGAGGAACCCACTTTGCAACTAATAATGGTTGGAGACGGCTTATATTAAAGTTTTTCTTCTTTACCCATCCAAGCCGTCTCCAACCATTATTAAATATAAAATGGGTTTAAAAGTTACATATGTTAAATAAAACCTACTGATTAACAATTAAAAAAATCAGCTTGCTTATAATTTTGCTTATTTTATGCTAATGATGATAAAAACAATGAAATTGCATATGGTGTTTTTTGAATCGAAACAAAGATAAAACTTAAAGTTTTATAAAACGAAAACTTTATAGCAAAGTTTTACAAGAGTATAAGAAGCTATAAAACTCTAATTGTAATCTACATTAAAGATATTTTTAATTTTCTTAAACATATCACAGTGAAATATTTCATAATTTTCTGGGCTGCAAATTGTACGGATGTTGCATATATAAAAAAAAATAAGATGTTTTATGAGCAGAAGCTACATAATCTGTACAAAGTTCATCTGAAGTTGTATGATATTTCATCCAGTAAATTATTTGCAATGCAATAAAACAAACCATACAACTGATGCATATCATTGATGGGCATTTTAGAATAAATACTACATAACTAAAGACAGAATTGATATGCTTTTATAACACCTTATTTTTTTTAATAATTCTTTAATTGTGTTTAACTTTTTGGTTTTGAGACTTGTTACAAGGCAGATTGAGTATTGTTAAAAGTGTAATTTTCATAGAAGTAGCAGAAACTGAATATAAAAGTGATGTGAAGATACCAATAGTTTGTTAATTTCATTTAATACTGAATCTTAGAATATTTAATAAAGTGCAATTTGCTTAACTACGAAAAGTTTTCTGAGAGTTTTGAAATCATTTCAACAAAATAATGGTGAAATAAATTTACTTTAAAATTGCATGAAAGATTAGAAGGTACAGGTAATATTAGAAATAAAGAGTAAAATCTTAAACTAGGAATTAGATTATTATAGTTTACAGAGAATGTGGATGAATATATGCTAAACTGTTAAATTAACTGTTAAAGTATCTTCATGCTCAAAACTTTATTATATTTATTTTTTCAGTAGACGTGTGCTAAAAGGGAGTTTTTTTTTGTTTTTTTTAAGTTTTAGATTTTAATGTTAAATCTAAACAATAACCTTAAGACTGATTGCAGTTTTAATTTACATTTAAGATACCTGCATTAATAACCTATTAAGTTATATTTTATTTTGTTTTTATGAAAGACAATAGTTTTGTCTAATAATTGTAATTATCAAATGTAATCCAGAATAACATTATTTAATATTAAATAATGACTTTTACTTAAATAAATATATTCTACGTAGCCTTGTCAGTAACAATTTAGTTTCATGTGCATAGTTTTTATTATCTTTAAAAATTCATAATGATTGAAATGCAAGCTTCATTTAGAATTTTCATGTTCTGTTGTTTTTTTTAATTCAGTAAACCGAAATTCTTCTGTAGCACCAAATGCAAAAACTTGCATTGTTAAAATTACCTCAATTTCCGTGAAATAACCATGATTCATTTGTGCTAAACTCTTTAAGTATATTTAAACCAGAGAATGAAATGTAAGTATAATTTTTACGTACACAACTAAAGTGTGTGTAGGTACTGTACACTGTCATAATTAAATGATTTTTGGGTGGATAGTATACTCTATCCTACTTCATTTTTTAAGCTTGACTCTTACATGAGGCCTAATGCATCTTTTTATTGTACAATATTAAAATGTTTGATAATGTGATTCAAGTTAAAATGTAATTCTGGCAATGTAAGTCATAAATATTTGAACAATAAATTGTTATATATTTATAGTAGCTTTTTTTAAACACCAAGCAACAAAGTTTGTCATCCTCAGAAAGGATCAATGGCAAATTTATGACTTTTTTTTTGGAGTGCACACCTTGTTTACCGAATTCAGATTAACATATGCAAATATTGAAAGCTACTAATTATAAAACATTTTACTATTATTATAAGTAATAAACATATATTTTTTTTTAATAAAGGTAAGTCATAAAGCTTAATTTTTTCCAACAAAACTATAAAAATGTGTGTGTGTGCAAAATTTTCAACTCTTAAAAACATTTTTAATACACATATCAAATCAAGACCTTGCTTGGTTCACTCTCATGGTGGAAATGATTTAGACAAATTTTAAAGTGTGTGAATATACTTTATTTTAGCACTTTCAAATTTATCAATAACAAATACACTCAAAAGTCGAACATCAAAATAATGCCCACATTTGCCTACACTTCTGTATTCCACAGTATGTTAAAACTTTAATTCACATCATTTAAGTATTAAATGATCAAAATTCCTTGGTGAAAGAGTTATATTCTAGGATCATGTTTTCTGAAACTATCTTTAGGTGGTTTAGGGTGCTTGACTTGCAACTTGCAAGTCCTTTCAGCTGTGGAGGTGTTATAAGGTGATAGTCAATTCTACTGTTAATTCATAAAATAGTAGCCCAAGAGATGGCAGTAGATGGTGCTGTCTAGCTGCCTTCCCTCTAGTCTATCACTGCTAAATTATGGATGGCTAGTGTACATAACCCTTGAGTAGCTGTGCAGGATATTCAAACCAAACTTTGAAGAAATGACAGTAGGTTTATTCTGAATTTTGTCTTCTTTGTATTGTGTTTTGACCTCTTGTGCGATTATTGTAGAGTACACAGAGCTGAAGCTAAAACATAATGCAACTTATTTTAAATAATCTACCAATGAACAGTTATTTTTTCTGTAGAATCTCTAATCACATGTAAGAGCAATGTTATAGTTTTTCTTTGTGTATATTTATATGTGTATTAGGATTTAATGGTAATTAAAAATGCACAAGAGATGCCTGGGTGTTTGTTAATAGTTAGCTTGTTAGATTTAAGTAGTAAGTCTTCACTAGTTTTTTAATTAATGTCTGGTTCATGATAAGCTTTTACAGAATATATTATAGTAAGAGGAAGTTTTGAGTGTTCTTTTAATCATGTGTCTAATGTGTGTTCTGTTTCACATATATAAAAGGCTGGGAGCTGTTGCTTAGTATTTTGTAAATGTTTCTTGGAAGGTTAGTTTTATTGTTTTTTTATGTGGAGTTAATAAGAATCTAGTTGTTATGTCAGGTTTATGCTTTCATGTTAACCTTTTTGAGATTTCTGTAAGATATGTGCTAACATTTTCTATAAAAGGAAAGTTGCTTATGATTAGGTTCAATGGATGTTAACATTTTCCTAAACTGAAAATGTATTTCCAATAATACTTATCTCCGCTGACACTACAGCTATTTCTCGATCTCCAGGGTTTCCACTCTTTGCCCATCTAAGCATTGAAAATGCTTGCCCCAGTCTATTATACCCCACTCAATTGCCCTTGGCAAATTCTAATTTGCAAAATTCTCCACCAGCTTCATTGCACCCTGCATCTAGGTGCTGTATATAAGTACCTCAATCAGTAATGTAACCAGTTTTTGAGACATAAACTGGCATTTAGTGGGGAGGTAGAGTTGGAGAGTGTTTATGGAGGCAAGTATTATTCCAAAACATACCTCCACTGACACTATAGCTATAATCCTACATTAAGAAGTATGAACCATACAGAAAGCATCTGTATAGAACGGGAGTGTACCAAGATAAAGATGGTACAAGAGTGGGGGAACTGCACTACATCCAAAACAGGTATGCTATTCATTTGGCACTCAGTTCTTATATTAAAGGTAGCATAGAATATTAGTAATCATAAGTATAGGCCAGCCCCAACCAGATAGCTGAGGTTCCACAACTCAGAGTTGGAATTAAGGGATCATGGTATCTGTATCCCACATTGGTGGCTAGGGCCATTGGACCACATTGTTATGTACATATATACACTTTTGATTGGACCCCAACCTGTAGCCATATAGTGGTGCGTTATGTACCATTGGAATCATGATGAGAAAGTAAGGAACACCAAAGTGGACAAACTATCTTCTCCACCTGAAGAAGTCCAAAAGGAAACACCCCAAGCTAGGAATGACAGGATCGTGTATGCCATACTCAACCAAAGGAACAGAACTCATCCAGTCTGGAATTATGAACATTCATTCTCACCCCTCCTGGAATTATGGATAGGACATGGAACCTGCACTCAACCATGGACCTAAGATGGGATCACTTCACGTTCGGAATTATGAGGAGATAGTGGACCTCCTTCCATGAACAATATATGAAACTTACATTGATCAAATAGAAGGGCCATGCACCCCCCAACCAGATAGCTTCATGTCAAATCTGAACTGGAATTACGAGTAGGCTCCCACATGATGCCACTCCTACTGACATCTGGGAAAAACACTCAGGGACCCGAGTAGGAGGGCTCCCAATTTCACCTTCTTCTCAAAGAGTGGAGGAATACATTCAAACACTATGAAGGAAAAGCCTCTGTTGCCACCCCAGTGACTGGAAACTTGGGGTGGTAAGTACTCCCAAGCTCCACTAGTAGAGTCTGGGGGGGGGGGGGTAATATGCACTGGGGAGTCCTGAGGAACAGTACTCCAGAAACTGTGGAGTAGGTGAACCCAGTTCCCTATCTGAAGATTGGCAGGGACGGGCAGGATCCCCTTTAGCTTTACTCATGATAGTTTATTAGTGGCGGTCCGTAACAATAGGATAATACTATCCACTTGGCATCTGGATGGTCTTATGGAACACCCCATTTTTACAGAGTCTGTTGCAACCTGTAGTAATTATAGTGAAAATGGTTGCTATTGCAGAATTGAAAAGAGAAAACATACTTGCCTGGGCAACACTCACCACAGAGTGGGATCCAGTGAAAAATAAAAGAGCATATGATTGAAGAAAATACTCACCTCTGGTTAAAATCTAACATATGGGGTAGTTAAAAACCCTCAGAAGAGGAAACCAGCAGATCATGTAAGTAATGAGATGGGAAAGTATTAGGAGTAGTCCACATACCAGCCCGCACAATGTCTTCCAGAGGGCAATTCAACTGGACGACATAGAGATGTGATGAACCTGGTGAAATGTGACACACAAAAGATTCCTCACC